ACCCCCAACCGGTCGTAAGTTGAGGACTACTCAACCGGTCGTAAGTCGAGGACTACTCAACTGGTGCAGCACTGTTTGCAGAATGGGACTTTGGGCAGGCTCAGCAGGGCAGAGACAGCCTGGACAATTCCTATTTGCTTTTGAAAGCCAATAGAATTAGACTCTATTCAAGAGAGTCTATTCTATTGGCTTTCAAAAGCCAATAGAATAAAAGGGAGTAGCACAGCTAAGGAAAAGGGGAAAAAAATGGCGGACTGCGTTGTTTGGCAACCCCCATGAAATGGTCGTTCGACCCCAAATGGGGTCCTGACCCACAGGTTGAGAACCACTGATGTAGAAGATCTCAGATTCAATTGCAACATCTCCAGTTAAATGGTCAAGACCTTTTTCTTTGTATTGCTGTGTCCCTGTCCAACAGATGGGAATATGGGATTCTTTTTGATTCAAAAGGAATGATCACTATATGGGCTGGTAAGCCTTTATTTCAAGCCAGGATAAAAAAAACAGCATAATAGCAAATTAATATGAGATAGTTCTCAAGGAATAGCCAAGACTATAACATAACACAAGACAAGGAGCAAAGACTATTCAAGAGTAGAAGTATATAAAGAAAGGAAGACCTTACACCCTTCTGCCAATCATGAAATCCCAAAGAGATCATGGTGGGTGGACCACTTCAAAACCAGAAAATATGCAGCATTCTCCTGTTTAATTCTGTTCTATTCCATGTAGGAGGGGATATTGACTAGCCCAGTGATGGTGAACCTTTTGGAGACTGAGTATCCAAACCGCAACCCAAAACCCACTTATTTATTGCAACGTGCCAGGGCCACATCAGCACTGTGGTGCCCTCAGGGAGGGGCAGGGAGGCACCTCTGAGTGCCACCTCTGGCATGCAAACACCGGGGGTGCAAAAATGGCCCACCATGCTGCAAGGGGCAAAAACAGCTGCCGCCGTGCTGTGGGGTGCAGATGCAAGGTGCTGCACCATGCAAGAACAGGGCAGGGCTAGTGAGTATCATATAGGCACTAGCCTTGCCTCATCTGCAGCGCGTGTGTGCTTGCGGCCCTGTGCGCACATGCATATATGTAAAATGCTTCCCCCTCTCTTTTCTTCCAGTCCACCAATCAACAATGATTGGTGACCTCTGCTCTACCACTTCTACTCGAGCTTGCTAGTCGGCCGCTTCGCCTCTTTTGTGGTGTGCGGGGCTCCTGCTCCGGGCGGCGGTGGCGGCCTGATGGACCTGTGCTGGTGGCTGTGGCACACGTGCCAACAGAGAGGTCTCTGAGTGCTGCCTCTGGCATGCATGCCATACGTTCGCCACCACTGGACTAGCCTATATAGGTTCTGAATCACCTTACTCACACTCTTTTTTTAAATTGCCTCTTTCATTGGAGTTTGCCAAGGACAAGTTCATCTTCTCTTGTACTTAGAACACTTTGTTTAATTCTACCATAACTGAGATTATCAAGGTTAAGGAGTAGTTTGGTAGTTAAGGCGTCAGCCTAAAAACCAGGAGACAATGAGCTCTAGATCTGCCTTAGACATGAAGCCACTCTGTCACTCTCTCTCAGTTCCAGGATGCAGGCAATGGCAAACCACCACTGAAATCTTGCCAAGAAAACTGCAAAGACTTATCCAGGCACTTGCCAGAAGACAAGACTGACTGGAAGGCACCATAACAATATCAATAATAAATGGCAATGAGACCATCTCAAAGTTTACAAGTATCCATTTCCCAAAGTCTTTAGACTGAAAATGAGAGAGCTCATTCTGCTCTAAGCAGATGCTTCACCAAGGACATGGCAAAATAAAATAACCCAAGTATACTCTTTAGTGACTAAAATAAATAAATGTTTAATTCAATATTACAGGTAGCCCTCATTTAATGACCATAATGAATCCAGGACTTCTATCATAAGTCATTGTGATTGTTAAGCAGGTCAGCACTGACTTGAGTTTACAACCATTGTAAAGTAAATCACCATGATTGTTAAGTGAATTGTGTAGTTGTTAAATGAGTAATATCATCAGTAAGTGAATGCATCCTGTCAGAGCAAAAAATGCCAGAAACTGGAAAAAAATGCCACAATTGTGTTCATGTGACTATGGACACTGCAACTGGTTGCAAAATGTCCAAAATGCTATCATGTGATTATGGGAGGGGAGTAATCAGTACCTTTTTTGAGGTACATTGTAACTTTGAACAGTCGTCAAATGAAGACTATCTGTACATACTCAATCATTAAAAATAATATAAAATTCTAGGTGCCAAGCAAATGAGGTGCACATCACTTTTCAGTTCCTCTGTTGTGCAGGTTCTGAGGTTTTGCTTGATAAAAAAATACAGGAAACCAGAAGTTGCCTTCAAGCTTTAGGTTTTTATTCAGCTGAACAAAGACTTCTCTAAAAGAGAGAAAAAGCCCCCAATATCAGAAAAGCCTTATTTTTATACCTTGTTTGGTTACATAAGCAATTCACCCAGCAAAGCTGATACACGTAAGATAAAGACTTCTCCCTTTGAGGCTGGCACACTGTAGATAAGAAGGAAGAAAGCAGAATTAGTTAAAAATGTTCCCTTTTGGGTATTCCCCCAAGACACCATATGTTCCCTTTTGGTTGGTTTAGGTGTTTCTCTAAGACACTATATGTTCCTGGGTGGGTTAGGACATTGGGTGTTTCCTTTGCTGTCCTTTTATGACCTTACATTCATGGTTCTGCAAGTGGCCGGAGTTAGGGGGCCATCTGCATGTATTCACAATTGTTACTGTTCCCTAAGTCTGGGTCAATACCTCCTCTATTCAAACCCTTCCCAATCCTGGTAAAACAACTAGCACCACTACCTATGGTGCAGTAGAGTTCCCATCAATCTGACAGACAGTTCCCAGTTAGAAATACAAATAATTTGACTGGGTATGAAGTAGTTTTCTATCTCCGTGGACCCAACATCTTTTAAACAGCTTTTTGGTCATGATGGAGTCATAAGTTTGTTATTGGTAACAGTAAAAATACAATTAATAAATCTTTGGACATTGACAGAGGAGATATGATTCTTTTTTTTCAGTTTTCAAAAGGTTTTTAATAGTATCAGCCATTATACCCATCCCGATTACTGTTTGAGAACTGTTTTGAGAATGGGAGGTATTATTATTTGGAGACAGTTGCTGCTTAAACTACACACTGGTATATTAGGTCCTCTCCACTGCTTTTTAATATCTGAATATCTCCAAATATGGAGGTTTGGAACAGGATGTAAGTACCCAGATGCATCCAGACCTATTTCTCCGAAACATCTTCAGATAATAGAGTGGTTCTCTTGAATGTCTGCCTGCAGTTGGTAATGGATTGAATTTGGGGAGTTCATTTATTGGATTTGGAATCAGACAAGATGGAGATGTTCTTTGTGAGGGTCCTTGATTCCAGAATCTGGGTAGATCTTGTTCCAAATGGAATTGCATTTTTACAAAGGAGTAAATATACAGTTTTGGACTATTTCTAGATTTTCATCTCTCTTCAATTTCCCCGAGTGAGGCAACAGCTAGAGATAGTTTTTATCAGTTTTAGGTGATATGCCAAGTCCTTTCTTTCCTGGAAGAAAATGATCTTAAAACAGTCATGCGTATTCTGGTAACCCAAGCTTAAATGATTATGGGACTGCTTTTATGTCTAGTCCAGAAATTTGAGTTGGCACAGAATTCAGCTGCCAGGTTGTCCTTTGGAAGATCACATTACACCTGTGCTAAAAGCATTGTAGAATCAATCACTTTGTTTCAGATGAAACACAAAGTGTTGATTATTATATTTAAAACCATTTATGGCTTGGGTTCAAGGCGTAAGACACCTCTTGGATTACCCCTCCCTACCTTTTGAGATCATCTGAGGAGCTTCAGTTAAAGCTGCTGTAGGCAACCAGGGATCATGCCTTTTTGTAGTCACCCAAATTCTTTGGAATTAACTCTTTGTTGAGTTGTGGAACTTAACTCACTTTTTAAAAAAGCCCTATGATATGGTTTGAATTGTTTGTTTTGTTTACATTATTTTTTATTTTGATTTTATTTACATTATTATTCTAGCAGAGGTTTTAAGTTTTTACTATAAGTTATCAAGAGACTTCAGTAGTTGGCAATATGATAATTTTAATAAATAATAACTAAATAAAATTTCTCCCAGCTATTGCAATGAAATCAAGAGCTCGTGTTGGGTTTACTAGTTACTGGGCTTGGCAGAAATTTCAGAAATTGGAATAGATTTGTGAAAAGTAAATTAAAAATGGGATTATCTGGTTATGCGGAATGGCACAGGCAATCAATCTCTCCCTAGAGAACATTATATCATCATTTCAGGTGATATTGGGACAAAGATGCTAGGTGAAAATAGTGAAATTACATTTTACTTCAATCCTGTAACTAAATTCTCCTAAATCCTTATGCCATACCTCCCAGAGTTTAGTTATAAACAGGATGTATATTATGGAGGCTAAAAAGAGTTGTAGAACCTCAAATTGCTTCTAAATACATTGTCTCACAAACTCCATGTTACTTCTTCACATGAACAGTATGGGGGAAAAGTTCCTGTATACCTAATTCAGACTCTTTGACTCTTTAAAAGCACACCCCATATTTTCAAGACATGCAAAATAAAGGATCAATGGATAATCAACTTGGGAGATATAGTCTGTAAAAATATGGTCTGATTGGGCTATGCTTGCTTTGAAAATGTTAAAAGCTGCTTTGAAGGAGAATCCAAATTTGGATTTCTATCTAATGTTGTGCAGAGAAATATATATGGCAAATAACACTTAGTGCTGTGAAAATTGGTAATTGAATAGGTTACTTCTGGATACAACTGGACACGCCAAGTTAATTTTATTTGCAATTCATATAGTGAATACAATGTGGGTGCTTCCTGTTTTACCAATCTGACACAGTGCCTGCATCAATTTAAATATAAAACCTCTGATGATCACATAAGCTGTTTTTTGCTTTTGTCTCTCCAGGAATGTGTTGATGGCAGCAAAGCGAGCCAATCAGAGTGGGCACTTCATCTGGATGGGTTCTGACAGCTGGGGTTCCAAAATTACCCCTGTGAGGGATGTGGAAGAGGTTGCAGAAGGATCTGTCACCATCTTGCCCAAGAGGGCAACTGTTAGAGGTAAGCCTAGAAATTTTCAAGAACTTTAACTTTTCCTTTGAATTTGGTAAGTGTACTGTATAAAAATAGAAATCTGTTATCATTATTCTTAGCTTGTAATGTCCATTCAGATGTCATCCATGCCTTTTTGCTGATTATGGAAAGAAGCTCATCTTGATTTGGGGTACACTAAAGGCCTTACTCCTTGAATATCTATGGTTTTCCTTGAATTTTGCTCTGCTGAAACTTATATCAAAGCAACTGTTTGTTTAGCAACAACTGATGTATGTCTTGCTTATGATCAGACTGCTGGCTGAAAAGGTGTTTCAGTCTGCTGAAAAATGACAGTAGATGTTCTCAGCGAGAGTGGATAGTTTCATATTTATGAAGTCTATATTGCTTTAAACTTGAAATTTCAGTATCACCAGCCATGTGTGATCAAAGCAGTGGCTCAGGAGTTAGTCTCACATTTAGGAGTAGTAAGCTTCTGAGTATATACGTAGCCCATCAGAACTAAAGTATTTTTTATACAAAAAAATGCAAAACCAACTCATCTCCCATCCTCCAGCACTCTTTATTCCACCATCTCTATTCCATTTTAGTTGCCGTGACTGTTAAACAATTGGGAGTCATAAAACTTGGTGATCTAGTTCAAGAAAAGGCATGTGTGGCTCTCCAGATGTTGTTAAATTTCAACTCTGATCATTATGGCAAATGAAGAATGATATGATCTGCAGTCCAGCAGCATCTGGAGGACCATAGGCTTCCTACTTTTCATGCCAGTAAATAGTGGTCTACTGTATACTTACTTCCTCCCACAGAGATATGGTTTATAACATGGAGCAAATTTCTGGTTTATGGGATCACACACTGATGCTTAATTGTGATAACATTTATACATGCCGTAGATAATCATAACAATGTGCCATCTGGAAGATTCTTTCTGAAATGCTCAGTAATTGTTATGATCATTGAGAGTGATATATCTCAGCTGAAATGGACAAAAGGATATAAAATGGAGGCTATATTAAAGTTGCCACCTACAGGTTGTAAAAATCCAGACAGCCATACCATGGCAAGAAAGAGGAAAGGCTAATCCTTTGCTGTCATCTAATGGTCATTCAGAGCTTTATAGCCAGATGTGGTAACCTTAGGTTAGGATTTCTCAACTTTGCAAAATGGCAACAATACTCAATTGAGCGATTTCTTTTGTGTTACTGTTGGACAAGAAATGAATGTACCTTTACTACTTTTTCCTTGATTCATTTCTAGGGGTTATTTTGAAAACTGAAGCCAGTCTGCTTTGCTTTGTGCTTTGAGTGAACAGTGTTTTCTTACAAATAACAAATTAAGATCCTTCTTCTCCAGTATGGGAAACAATTATGAAATCAGAGATACATCTGTCCGTCTACTTTCTTGATTTTGGTTTGCTACCAATAGACTATAATTTTAAATATTTCTCTTACCACCTACCAAGATTTTTTTATTTATTTTGAATGTCTAGAAACTTAAGATAATGGATAACAATGTCCATTGTTACTTTACGACCTACTATAAAATATCCATGTATACTTTTACAGTCAATCCAAATATCAAAACTATATTGCTACCAAGGACACTAGTACAGTAGCTGGAAGCATTTCCAAAAGAAGCAGAACCCAATTACTGGTGGCTGATTTCATGGATCACAAATACCTAGTAATAATTTGTCACCTGTCAGTTGTAACTATGTAGAAACCAGACTTTTATTCATTTCAACTGTGTTAAAAACCACACTCATAAAATACAAAACAATTTACTCACAGCAACTTATATAGTTTCATTGACTTTTTGACATCTTGGCAGACTTTAATAGATAAATATCTTGTAAAATAAATAGAAATGGGAGTATAACAAAAGTTCATTTCAAAGTCACATTCTATATCAGAAATAATAATATAGAGACCACTGGATTGTTTGTGACTCATAGATCGTGTGGTGCCTCTTCTAAGAAAAGAAAGGAGGCAGAAAACCATTTGTAACTTTAGTAATACTCAAAGACCAAGTTTAATTGCCTGAAATAATATTTTATAAAAATATTGTGACCTTTTTCTAAGTTGCTCAGAACCTACAGTTAGAGAATTCCTGCCTTAAGTACGATCAGATTGATTCCCATGCATTTAAGATGATGGTGTCAAGATATTTTAGAAAGATTTTCATTAAGAGCAAGGGGCTCTGAAGTACTCTCTAAGAAAACTGTTAAGCATACTTGTTTTCAGTTTTAGGATGAGACATACCCAGTCGATAAGTATTGTAAAGTAAGGAGAACTTAACCTGAGCTTTCCAACTTAACCTGAGCTTCTTTAGCGTGCTGCAAAAACAAGAAATCAGCTCTATTATATTTCTAATGGATATCCATATTGTTGAGTCCGTGGCGGGAAACAGACACGAGAAGCAGCTGGAGTTCTCAGTTTCTTTTATTCAGCGTTCAGCTTACAGGAAGATGGCTTCAGCCTCGCCCAAACGCCTCGCAGCCTCTTATATAGGCAACTCCCGGGTAAATGGGTTACTTTTCCCGCGCCAGCACCCGCGCATGCGCACGGCGCTGGCGACAGCCTGTCTGGTCCCGGGCAGCTTTGCACCTGCCCGGGACTGCCTGCAAACGCCCGAGCCGTTTGCAAAGGCTCGGGACATAACACCCCTTTCCCCCGGGCTAAAACTACTACCAACATACAACATTTATTTTATACGACAATTTGCTCCCCAGTGCTCCCACTGTTTACTGGCTTTTGCCTTGCCAGCAATGTTATGTAATCTTCTAGGTACTTAGGAGATTTCTTTGCTCTCTGTGACCTTCTTAGCTCTGGGTTACTGGCATAAGTCCCCTGACTGGAGGGAGGCGTGAGCCTGTTCTCTCTATTGTGCCCTGGTGTCTTCCAAGGACTGTGCCCCGATGCCTGGCCTGCTTGCTTGCCCACCGGGCTCGTCAGGCCAGGGCTTCTGTTACTTTGTGACCTGGTTGTCCTACCTAGCTGTAGACCCTCAGGCCCCTTGAAGTGATAGCCACTGCTGGGCGTCTCTGTAGAACCTCCTAGGTCAGTCCAAGACCTGTCAGGAGGCTGTCCATTCCCTGAACCCCATTCTGTGCTCGGGCTCGTGTGGGTTTCTGTACTTTCCCAAAACTCAGGTGTTCCCTGATTTGTGCTAGGGTTGTTGTAGTCGGGACTTGGTTCCTCGACTAGCTCTGTGTATGTTTGACCCCCTGTAGGATTTGGGGTAAGGTCAGGCCAACCTTGGGAATTGTGTGCCAGCTCTCTTGCGGGGAATGATTTGTTGGGATGCCCCCGGGTATCCTCCGTGACTGGAGTGCTGTGTGATGTGTGTGGAAAGTGAGTATGCCCCCGGGGTGACTCCCTGGCTGGAGTAGGCGTGAGTGCCTGTTGTGTGGGTAAGCTCCATGACTTCCGGAGCAATTGCGGAATCTTGGGATGGGCCGTTTGTGGCTCCCTCAGTGGAGATGGGCAGTAGCTCTTGCCCTTCCCTTTGCTCCAAAGGGTCCCCCTCCCCCCCTGGAAAAGACCCAGGAGTCTCATCAGAAAAGTCCGCCTAGAGCGAAGTTGGTCGATGTGCCGACGCAGGACACGACCGTTGTCCAGGGCTACCTCGTAGGAGAGAGGACCTGTGACCCTGGAAACAGAAGCGGGGACCCATGTATGACCAGGCCCGTAATTGCGAGCCCAAACCGGGGCACCCACAAGTAGTTGTCTAGGTGCCCTAGGATGTGAGGTAGATAAAGGCAGTCTGTCCGGATGCAACCGGTCAAGTCTAGTAGTAAGTTGGCGCCCCCAACGAAGTTCAGCTGGACTTCTCCCTGTAGAAGTGGACGGTGTGGTGCGATAAGAAAGGAGAAAGTCAGCCAACCTGTGATGCCAGTCCCCGTAGGTGAGTCTCTTCAAGGCGTCCTTTGCGATGCGCACCATGCGTTCAGCCATACCGTTGGTGGACGGGTGAAAAGGCGCAGACGTGGCATGACGAATCAGGTTTGCCTGTAAGAAAGCTTGGAATTCGGAGGAGGTGAATTGAGGGCCGTTGTCGGACACAATGACATCTGGTCAGCCCGTGTGCAGCAAAAATCCCCCTCAGTACCTGAATAGTCTTTGCAGTGGTGGTGGATGAGACAGGTACAACCTCAAGCCATTTTGAATGACTGTCAACAAGGACCAAGAAGAACTGGCCCTGAAAGGGCCCAGCATAGTCAATGTGCACCCTAGACCATGGGGACTGTGTTTCCTCCCATCTATGCACAGGAGCTTGGGGCATCTCTGGGCGAGATCGTTGGCACAGGTGGCATGCGTGTACCTTAGCCTCAATACCTTTTTCTAAACCAGGCCACCACAAGTGGCTTCGTGCAAGAGCCTTCATACGAACAATGCCAGGATGACCCTCGTGGAGGGATTCTAAGACCCTAGTCCTCATTGAGGTGAGAATGACAACTCTGTTTTCCCAAAGCAGACAACCCTGAGAAAGGGACAGTTCGTTCCTTTTGGACCAGAAACTCTGAAACTCAGGACTAGGGCAGTGCTCAGGCCACCCGGACAGGACCCAGGAGCGGACACGTGAAAGTGTGTGATCTGTACCCGTTTCAGCGGTAACATCCCTGGCACTAAGAGGGAGCTCGGGCAAGGCTTGGATTGATAGAATGTTGACAGCTGGCGCGGGGTCAGCTTCTACTACTGGCAGAGGCAACCTACTGAGGCCATCAGCATGGCCCATTTCTTTCCCAGGCTTGTGGATTAATGAAAAATCATATGCAGACAAAAAATAGACCACCTAAGCATTCTAGGGGAAATGATGTGGGGAGTCTGCTTACGTGTGGTAAACAGTCCCAGCAGAGGCTTATGGTCAGTGAAGACCGTGAAATGCCTGCCATATAGAAAATCGTGGAATTTTTTAATTCCAGCAACAACATCCAGAGCCTCCCTGTCTATCTGAGCGTAGTTGCGCTCGGCAGAAGACAGTGTTCTGGAGTAGTATGCAATAGG